CTAGCTGGTAGTTATGGATATGTGAAATGAAAGCTATGCATTTATCTGTGTGTATATGCATGTCCAAATGTATGAATCTCTTTCATGACTCAGAGGGAGGAGGAGGAGGAGGAGGAGGAGGAGGAGGAGGAGGAGGAGGAGGAGGAGGAGGAGGAGGAGGAGGAGGAGGAGGAGGAGGAGGAGGAGGGGGGGGGTGGAGGGAGGGAGCTTCAGTCTCTCCTCACACGGGCGGTCCTGTTGCAAAAGGAGGGATGGGCTCTGAGATCTCTGTTTATGTTATCTAGGGGGAGAGGTAAGGCGAGGCGGGAGATGAGGAGGAAGATGAGGAAATGAGGAGGAGGAGGAGGAGGGAGGAGGAGGAGGAGAGGAGGAGAGGAGGAGGAGGAGGAGGAGGAGGAGGAGGAGGAGGAGGAGGAGGAGGAGGAGATGAGGAGAAGGAGGAGATAAGGAGGAGGAGGAGGAGGGATGATGATGATGATGGTGATGATGATGATGATGATGGTGAGGAGGAGGAGGAGGAGGAGGAGGAGGAATTGGTGGAGGAGAAAGAGGAGATGGGGGAGGAGGAGAAGGAGGAGGAGAAGGAGAAGGAGAAGGAGAAGGAGGAGGAGGGGGAGGGGGAGGAAGAGGAGGAATATATGGAGGGGGGGCGAAGAGGAAAAGGCGAAGAGAAAAGAAGGTCTGGAAAGGCAAAAGCGAAGAGAGAGGGAGAGAGAGAACGAAGGTGGGAGAAGGACTAGAACAAGAAAGAGGAAAGAAAGGGAAAGAGTGGGGAAGAGGAGGTTAGAGAAACGACCGCATGTCTCTCTCCTTGACACTCCTAGTAACAAATCGACGCTTTTTCTTCTTTTTTTCTTCTTCCTTTTCTTCGTCTTCGGAGATGGAAGAGAATGGCGGGGGAGGAGAAGAAGGGAAGGAAAGGAAAAGAAAGAATCGGTTTGGGTAGGAGAGAAGAAGGGAGGGGAAGGAAGGGGAGAGGATGGGAGGGAAGGGAAGAGAAGGAAGAGAAGAGAAGAGAAGAGAAGAGAAGAGAAGAGAAGAGAAGAGAAGAGAAGAGAAGAGAAGAGAAGGAAAATAAGAGAATTGAATGGAAAGGAAAAAAATAGAAAGTGGAACAATAAAAAAAAATGTTAGAAAAAAGAAGAGACTTGAAGGAAAGGGATAGAGAGAAGGAGAGAGGGAGAGAGACAAGGAAGGCAGGGGAGAGTGCGCGCGGCTGCCTACCATAGCGACGACGCTCCCTCCGCAGCCACAGCGCATGACCTTTGACCTTTGTGCTGGCACCGTAACTTTATCTTCTTTTCCTTTTTAACACGTGCCTTATCCGGCCGCCCTGGGTCACCCACGGACGTCGACTATATGTCTCGCGTGAGTCGTTCAGCTGAGTCGTAATGAGTCCTTGAACTGATTGTCATGTATAAGTCGTCCAATTCGCGAGTCGTTCTTGTATCATAATTCAGCAGATTGGTGGAATTCTCTTGGGTTTTAAAGATCTGTGTGTGTGTGCGTGTGTGTGTGCGCGCGCGCGCGCGTGTGTGTAAGAGTGTGTGTGTGTGGGGTGGGTTAAACGTCCTGGAATTTTAAGGAGTGTTGTGCATGTCTCATTCTTTATATTGTTTTATATATAAATATATGTGTATATATGTATATATATTTATATTTTAACTAGTTTAGCTTCATTAAGTGTTTATCCCGTATGTTTATTGTTAATTAGTTTTATGGGCAATCTGCGATTGGATTTGGATTTTTTTCTTGAGTGTATATCATTTGGGACTATTTCCTTATTTTATTTGTTTTTATTTTCAGTATTTTTAATGTTATTTTTATTATAATTTCAATTACATAAATCATATAAGGAGGAGTGTGTATGTGTGTGTGTGTGTGTGTGTGTGTGTGTGTGTGTGTGTGTGTGTGTGTGTGTGTGTGTGTGTGTGTGTGTGTGTGTGTGTTTATTCCTTTTTGGGGGGAGGGGGTCACAAAATGAAGCTTATTACAAATGCTTTTTACTAATCTCTCCATCCGTGCTTGCGCGTGCGGTGAAAGTGAAAGGCAGTTGTAAAATCATTGTTTAGTTCTTTTGAATATTTTATTGACTATGAGAACAGTCGGTTAGAAAGGCACAATGCTAGACGATTTAATTTCGCCGCTTAGTGAAATCTCTTCCATTAGAATGCATTATAGCTTTGCAAGTACACGCTTAACTCTTGAAAGAAAGAAAGGAAGAAAGAAAAGAAAACCTTTCATAATACAATTCACTAAAGTCATATAACTCCAGTTACACTGCACCATTCAACACGGAAGTTCCCTGCTGTATTGCACGAGGCGGCACCGGCATGTAGGAGTACAAAGCAAAGGGTAATACGCCATCTATTGGCATTAAATTCTAGCCGTGCCCCGTTCGTGCCCTTGCCTCTTGTCCCTTCCTCTGTCGGGCCCGCTAGGTTGAGAAAAAACAACAACAACAACAAAAAAAACATGCACTGTGGAAAAGCCTTGATTG